GCAGAATTCGACCAAGAGCATCTGAAGGCACTATTGAAGGAGCATGGTCGCCAAACAATTCGTGCATTGGCTGATTATTATAATAACTTATTTAATAACTTATTATTACAATTATTGCTTTTTGTTCAGAGAAATCTTTGTGAAAAACTCTACGAACTTATGTTACAACCTAATATAAGAGAGTATAAGACAAACATTCACCCCAAAAAATTATGTTCGTGATTTTTCTAAGAAAATCTGCAGTACAATACAAAGGTCCAAAAAGGGTATAACAACACCCTTCTGCTAAGATAGCTTTTATTAATTCCAATTAATAACAACATATAATATCATAGAGTAAACAACAATTTAAAAAAAGGAATGAGATTATTTATACGTTATTCCTTTCCTAGATCTCACTTCACACTGTAACTTACTAAAAACCTGATAGGTCACATCCAAAAACACATTGTAACTTACTAAAACATTTATAGGTCACATCAAAAACCTGAATATTATCGAGCTTCCGTACTTACCTCTCTGATTGCATTGATGAGGCCATCACGATCAACAGCAGTTATGGAATCATAGTCGTAGAAAAAAGCCGGCTCATTGCCTTCTTCTTGATATATTTTTTCAACCTGAAACAACGTGAGTTCAGCGCATACACAGGAAACTTCGGCACTTGAAGATTTGAAATTTCTGAATATCAAAGGTAGACAGAGTAGATTAGACTCGAAATATACCTTGTCTTCGGTGTAGAAAAATTCGTCTTGATGAATGGAATGAACCGTAGCACCGCCTTTCATAAGCTGTAATTATAGGGATTCTTCGTAAAAGGGCTGAATATCAGAAACATTTCACCTTATTGCAAAGGATCTTAGTGAGAGTCGTCTTTCCCGAGTTGGTGCAACCGGCGATGGCAAGTACTTTGCTCTTTGAACGAGCATCATTCGACTGGAGGCCATCGCCTGTTTCTCCCACACCACCATTGACCGATGACATCGCCTTAGTAGCAATTTTACCTGAAAGCAAACAAATCACTCAGAATCGACTGGGAATCGCCTATAATAACGAATGCATATTTTCGCGAGGCCTGCTGCTTGGAAGTCAACGATATTTGCACAAGAATATCGTAATCAGGGGAGCCAATCGTCTAACCAGATGACTAGTGAAGAAGAGTCGGGTACCAACCTGTCACCAACGAAGAATATCCACGATATCTTGAAAATCCACGGATCTTAAGCGCTGCTGGCCAACTGGTCGCTCTGTGAACTGTTTTCTGAGGTAAAGAAGGTGTAGATTCGAAAACTCAGTCTCCCTAACATTCAAAAGAAGTCGTCGTGAATGTCTCCCAATGCTGGGGTCTAAAAGGAATGGAAAAGAAGGGAAAGTGAAAAAGTAAGCAGGAAAGACTAGGAGAGGAAAAATGAAGAAATTCAAAAGAAAGTTGTCACAGGTAAGTAACACTGCAAGAGAACTACCTCGACAATATTCGTTTTGAAAAAAACAATTTTTTTGCAGAGATGAAGAGATGTCCACAT